TTAACAACACAGTTCATCTAACCAAACAAAGCAGACCCCTCTGCCACAAGCTTTATGGGCTCTGACCCTACTCCCCCTTTTGCAAAGCCTATAACATACTTAAATAAGCATACAATAAACAAGCCTCAGGTCAGCTGCTCCACAGAGAATCGCTGTCTCAAGTCCAAGCCTCTAGTGCTCACTGAGTTCTGATCCACCTTTTCAGGGGCTCAGGGATTTAGACTCTTTGGAGACTTGAAACTGCATTGTATGGAGAGGAAAGGAAGCCTAGAGAGGGGAGTTCAGTGTACTCAGAAAGGCTGTAAACAATGGATTCTCACCTCCCTGGTGTCCTGATAGTCACTGCTATCAGATATTAATTTGAAATTACTACACAAAGAAAGATAGTTTATTATTTTTCTGTATTTATTAACAGAAATACAAAGAACCCACACAAGGATAAGAGTTTCAGCAAGTGATATCCAGATCCACAGAGGCAAGGAAGGGCATATGCACTTTCAGGAATTTCCAGGGTCCAAGCTAAGCCAAGGGAGAAGTCGGATCAGCTCTAGTCCTCGGTTACTATTTTCACTGTTTAACCTCTGTGATTCACCTAATTAGTCTAAGATTTGGGGTTCTGCATGTCTAAACCAGCATGGGGACAGCCATCTTGTTGTCCTATTTGACATCAGAGTGATGTTTGTCATCTTGTAGTCCTCAGTTTGTTGAGTATATGGGTGGCTTTAGGTAATAATACTCTCAACCCCACAGGTGGTTAAAAGGATTCATTGGGAAAACATGAAAATTTTGAGTGTTTGACAAACAGTTAACACTCAGTGTTTTCTATTACTACTGCTCTACGTTTTTATGTGTGAGTCTCATGTTGAATTCCGCCGTTATCTATAGCAACAGGGTGGAGTATCAGTGAGTTAGACACTAAGTTTGTGTCTGACTAACACCAGCTTTAAAGTCTCATGCATATGTGATACACATTCACACAAAGCAAAAGAAGCCACTGTAGATAAACAGTGATTTGACGAAGGAGGCAGAGAAAATGGAACCCGTGCTGCTTTCCTGCTGGCCCTAGTAAGGTTAGTCCACACATCAGCTCTCAGGTCAGAGTTTCATGCCTACCATTCCTACACTGCACACTGCGCATGCCACCAAAAGGTGCCTGAGTACTGACCACAGAGGGAACAGTTCTCCTAGAGTCACTGGCTGCCTTCCAGGGCACAAGACTTCCAAGGAACACAATGATAATGGAAATTTCCATGAAAAGTAGAAAGTCTGCAAACTAAAAGAAATTCTTAGGCAAGCTACCAAAGTGCCTTGTGGTCACCTACTTGTTCTTGGCGATGTATTTGATAGACAGGGCACGTGCCTATCCTCTCCATGACCCTAGGGATGCTTGTCATGTCACTGAAGTCTGTGACGTCTCCCCTCCAGGAAGAACTCACCCTTTAGGGCCAACATGAAGAGTAAGTGACCAAGTAAAGCCTCTTAGGGATGAATTATTAATCTCTTTCTCCACAATGTGAGGGATCTATGAGGAGATAAGCATTTGAAGAGCAAGAGGGCCCTGGATAGATAATATTCCTGCCAGGACCTTGACATTGGGCATTCTGATTTCTAGAACCATAGGAAAGACGTATTCCTTTAGGCCATGAAGACAGGAATCAGTTCTTATGAATGGGACCACTGCTGTGAAAAATATACCTAAAAATATGTAACTGTCTTTGGAACTGGGTAATGAAAAGATGTTGGAAGAGCTTGAGTGCATGGTAGAAGAAGACAAGGTTTAGAAAAGTCAGGTGAGGTTTCAAATCAGTTCTAGTGAGATCTCATAAAGAAGAGAGACCTATAGAGAAGCCCTTCATCTTCTTAGAAAATATCTAAGTAACTATGAACAGAATTTTGGTTGAAATATAGACAAAGCCAGAAATGATGTGACATGTTTGTAATTCTCTAACCTCAGCACTTGGGAGTCCAAACCAGTCACGAGCTTAATGCCTGCAAAGGCCATAGAATGAGATCTGTCTCAAAATGAACAAAAAAAGAAAATAGCAAGCAAGCAAGCAAGGGACAGATGATCGAAGTCATTCTGGGGAGGTATCAAATGGAAATGAGGAATGTGGTTTGGAAACTGGAGGACAGGCATGATTTCTATGAAGTGAGAAGGAACAGGGGTCGTACTTGTGGTCTCATGTTTTATGGAAGACAGAGTTTGTGAAGGATGAATTATTGGTGAGTGATGAAATTTCTAAGCAGTGTTGAAAGAGCGGCTTGGTTCCTCTTGGCTGCCCATAAACAAGACCAGAAGTGACTCCAGGACAGACTTAGTAAGCAAAGAAGAAACCAGACATTCAATCTTAAGAAAGTCTCAGGGTAATCAAATGGAGAGAGAGAGAGAGAGAGAGAGAGAGAGAGAGAGAGAGAGAGAGAGAGAATGCAGCTGGACAAGAACATAGAGAGGGTGGCCAACTGACCCTTTGATAAGGTTGGGGTGGGTGTAAACCATGGAACTACTCAGCTACCCCAGCAGGAAAACTGCCAGTTTGGACAAGAATAAGAAGGAATGAAGCAACGTTATCTGATGTCTAGGATTTTACAGGATAAGTTCATAGAGCTATTGGCCTTGAACGTGTTCTATTCTTCAAAACAAGGAAAGAATGACCTCAAAGGAAATTCAGAGCTCATCAGAGCTGCCTCTTTGGTTTCCGAAAGGAAGGCAACTGATTCACTTTCAGCAGGTCGGATAACCTTCGCCAACGTCACGGCTTTCTACTAGTGCTCAGCAGAGCTTAGGGTCCGAAAGTAAAACTTCAAGTCACAGAGAATTACTCTCCAGGCTTAAGTACTCAGAAGACTCACCTTGGCAGGTGTAGGCACCCTTAGTTTCCAGCCACCACCCCTATCTTCTCTACAGCTCCTCTTCTAGTGAATATATCTACCTACACCTGCCCATCACATAACCGAAATTCAAAAGCACTCAACTTAACTAACTTGACACATTCACCAATGAAGAAGAATTTTGCCTCCAGACAAATTAAACCTTGAGAGTCACCCATATCTGGTTTAGATAATATTTAAATAAGATTTTGGATGTTGTACTTTAGACTGGAATGAGATAAGATTTTAGGAGCTCTTGGAATGCAATGAATAATTTTTTTGTACAAGAAGAATATGATTGCAGGGCGGGGTGTAGGATTGGAATGATGTGAACTGTCCAGATTTTTTATTTTAAACACCAACCCTACTGTGAGAGTATAAGTAGGAGAGGTCGCTCCTGGTAAAAGGGATTAGTGCCATTACATCCCAGAGAAGTCTCTGTCCTTCTGTTACTTGAGGATACAGCAGGAATTAAATCTGAAAACCATGAAATGACTGTCACTAGAGACTAAATCAATCAATATCTTGACCTTGGTCTTCCAGATCCCAGAACTGTAAGAAATAATGTATTTCTTAAGCTACTCAGTCTATAGCAATTTATTGTGGCAGTCTAGACTAAGAAATCTTAGTGCGTTTTAAATGATACATTGAGTGTCAAGGACTAGAGCAATGGAAATGACTGTTGGGTACTGACAAAGCTCAGAACTGGTAGAAGGAAGGGGGTGTGAGCCACTGCTTTGGAACTTAGAAAGAGCAGGAGTCTGGCTAGATAAGCTCTTGGTCCTCTCTGTATTGTAGCAAACTCTGTGTTTCAGAGTTCCACCGAGGTTGCAGGAGGATAGGCAAGTTTGGGGGCAGGATCGAGCAAGAGTTCTGGAGTCACATTTTAAACCAGGCACGAGGCAGAGCTGACTCTGAACAAGAGAATCTGTCCATACTGCCCCCACCTTCATGCCCCAGCTGCCTCCCATCCCTAGGATCACAGTCACCCAGTGTTTTCTTTCTTTATGCTTCATCTTTCCTCTTACAGTTTATGCCTTGCTCTACTTTAACCAGAATGATCATTTACATATATTCTATCCTGCCATTCCTCCACTCAAAGCCCCACTGCCCCCAAGACACATGTGTCCTTCCTATCGACTTTATATTAAGTATGTAAGCCTATCTATGATCTGACCTCTGATTCAAACTTTCTTTTCCACCACCTTCCATCCCCCCTCACTAAAGCCACTGAAGTTACCCTTGGTCTGGACTTCAGAATCGCTTTCAGGAGATTTCCCTCAACATTTCCCATAATGAGCTGCTTTTCGTGTTCTCAGAGCCCCCTCTTTGCAAGGGCCTTTTCGGAGCCCACAGCCCACATTCTCTTCCTTGGGAAGCCTCTTCAGGTTCCTCTGTTCCACATCTCCCTTGGTGCCAGCACATGTATAGATGCAGCTGTGCACACATCTGCACAGCTTCCTAGTGAAAGCTAGGAACTTTCACTCTCTGGAGGAAAGAGGACACCTGCACTATTCTCATGCCAAGACATCTACAGCTAAGTAGAAGTCCTCTGTTCCCAAACCCAAGCAGAGCAGCCACACAACCCTGGGACCCATTTTTGTACTAAGTTATGAACTGACTCAAACTAGAATGTCAAGATGTGGGTATTTTAGTGGGTTGTTCCTTTCAGGTAGCATGCAAGTGCCTCGAGGGGTCTTTGATAGCTTGATTCAGGTCCACCTTGGAGTGTTTTGGTGCTTTCCTCTTCTCTTATGCATGGAGTTTTGGACAAAGAATCTGCTATGTTTCTTTAAGGGTCTACAAACAATCTCCACTGCACCATTATCAGAGATCAGCTCACTACACTGAAAAGTTGTAGTGCCAAACATTGAGAAGAGTCCTGGGCTCACAACCCCAGGGCTCACAACTGCCACCATGTAACCTGTGAGAGCCAGATACCAACTCTGCTTGTGATTTGGGAGTGAGGAAATAATGAGTACTGTTGCTATAAAGATGGTTCATCTTACAATACATAATGACCATAACCTAAGTCATTCTACATAGAGAAAAGGGCAAAAATATCAAAGTTGCAACCACCCCAGGAGCCAGACTCTCATTTCACTCTTTTGTTTATTTATTTATCTTTCTAGGACATTCCATGATGACTGAAGTGATGACATTTGTAATGAAAGGATGGTATCAGCCTGGAATTCCTGCTGTCAGGATAAATAGAAAATCCTTTGCTATTTGATTGTCAAGGATGAAATTAATAGCTCCCCATAAATGTGGAATAAAATGATCTGTTTATTCTAGGGACAGCTGGAACAATCTTTTGTTTGCTTTCCCCACCCTTGTGCTTGTCCTTCTCCTCAGGGTAAGATGACTAATTGGCTTAGCAAGGTCATGAAGTCACCATCCTCCCCTTTCATGCTGCAAGAGCCCTACAGGCCCAGGTGGTGTGCATGCCATGTTGAGCCTGTACTGGAGAAGAAGCCGCTGTGTGCTGGGTACTGGACTGACTGAGTACCCAGGAGGCGGTTCTTTTTAGAGTTGGTGGCCTGGGGCTCCTCCAAATACTGGTTGGAGGCTTGAGGACAAGGCTCTGGAGGGGCTTTCCATTGGCATGGAGACAACCCTCACCATCTTCATCTGCCTAAAAACCAAAAGACCTGAAACACAAACATACATGCTGACATGGACCAGTTCCCAGAAGAAACAAAGGCCCACAAGGCTCCCACAGATGGAGGAGTTGAGGTCCTGCCCCATCACCCATTTATTTACCCTCTCTCCATTCCTTTTCTTTTTATCAGGAGAGTTATATTAATGCACACTATCAAGAGAAAAGCTGTTTCCTATTGACATATGTATTTTAAATTATAACATTATCATAAATTTCATTTTGTTCAGTATACCCCAAATATTATCATTCCTGGATGTAAATTGATGAGCTTTTTCATAGTCTTGTGTTCTGTGCTGAGTCTTCAAAATCGAGTGTGTTTCAATGCCTTACTACTTGCTAATGGCACTTGGCATGTTTAACAGCCACCCACACAGGGCTGTTGGCCACTAGGTTGGCCTATAGACTTCAGATAACAGGAAACCCCAAAAACTTTTGAAATAAAAACTGTGCACAGATAATGAGAAAAGAAACAATTACAGACCACTGCTCATGAACATAGATCCAAATAAACAAAGCAAAAATATTGGTCAACCGAGGCCTCTCTGCACATAAGAAGATAAAAAAAAATAGACTTGAGAGATAGATCAGTGGTTAAGAGTACTAGTTGCTCTTCCAGAGGACCCAAGTTTAATTCCCAGCACCTACATGTCAGCCTACAACCACCTGTAAATCTAATTCTAGATCAGTGGTTCTCTACTTGTGGGTCATGATCCTTTGGGGACGAATCAAATGAATCACAAGGTTGCATATCATATATTTGCATTACAGTTAATAATAGTAGCAAAATTACAGTTATGAAGTAGCAACAAAATAATTTTGTAGTCAAGAGTCACCACAACATGAGGAACTGTGTTGAAGGGTCTCACCATTAGGAAGGTTGAGAACCACTGTTCTAAAGGATCTAACACCCTCTTCTGGCCTCTCAGAGTATTGCTAATATGTGCTACATAGACATACATCCAGGCAAACCAACCATACACATGATAGATAGATAGATAGATAGATAGATAGATAGATAGATAGATAGATAGA